AATAACTAACTTTTACAACTTCACCCATTTCTATTAATCTATGTGCTTCCCTGAGGCCCATGACTTTTTACCTCTGTCCCATTTTGTGTTCAACTCATTCTTCTAGAGACTCCTCTGATTCCACCCTTCCTCTTTCCATCATTATCAGGTCAGCTTTACCACCTAAATTTATCTTGTTAAGATATTGGTCAGTCAGTTTGTTTATTGAACCAATCATACTGACATATCTTCACAGTGTACAAAACGATTATACTACATCACTCTTCACACTACATAGGTGTCCTCCAACTCTGCACAGATGCCCTCCTCACTCTGCACAGGTGTGATCCTTACCCTTCTGAATACCCAGTTCCTCCATTAGGACCCTCTCCTCTCCTATTTGCAGTTCTGACTCCCCACAGGAAGTGACCTAATGAGTTCATACTCTCCTCACCATGCTGGAGCACAGACTCCCTACAAGTGACCATTCCATAGCATAGCTGCCCTCCTCACCTCTCAGGCTCTGAGGTCTCACACCAGACTGCTGCTTGGAGACTCTCTCCTGAATCCAGACACTTTCTCACCAGCATGCTGACATTCCCTCACTGCCTGGGCTCCAGTTCTGCTGTCAGGACAGCCCTCAGCACTGTTACACTGACCCAGGTCCAGATCATTGCTTCCCCACACCTGACCCTTCCATAGACACCTGCCTTGCCCTCCCTATACCATTCTTTATTCAGTAAGTTACTAAGTAACTGAAGTACTCCAAGGAAAGAAACAAGATATGACAGAATAAGAACTCCTGTGTAATTATTAAACCAATTGACTATTTCCATGGTGATAAATATACCTACACACCACTTCACTCCAGTCACAGAAGTTCAGGGGTTTTACCTTCTCAGCAAAATATATTTCTAAAGCTATCATATATCACATACACTATTAACATCATGCACAATATTCAAGTGGCTTAAACAACAAATATTTCTCATTTGTGTATGTCCTAAGGGTTTGGCTATGGGTCACTGAAAGGCTGGTCAACTTCTTCATACATATATCAATTAGGAACCAGAATCATAGAGAATCACAGCTTCTTTTAAGTTGAATGTGTAGTATCCTCCTGTATTTAGATAATCAGATTTATTCTCATCCTATGGGCCAGTGAAAGTGACCTGGACAAATCAGTCAAT